AAACTCGCTGACAAATCCAGGATACTCTTAAAGTTTGCATCCAGTGGTTCAAATTGCGGAACTCGTCTGCTCGGACCTTCAACTGGTGGACCTGACCAATCTGCACTGGAAGTAAATAAAGCAATGCTATGCATTGCCGCATGCGTTAGACCTCTTGTGCAAGTTTTTAGACGCTGTCAAGTGTCCACGATCGTATATATCTGATTGCTTTGAAGCCGTCCAAGTCTGTGGATCGAAACCATAGGAAAAACTGTGACCTGCGCAACGATGAGGCAAAACGCACAAGGAACACTCACCTGGCCTGTCAATTCCTCCATCTCGTCACTGACATTGCATTGCATTAGTCAGTCGACTGTTTTTTTACATGTAGCTAAGGCAAATGACCAGGATCTCTGCTTGCTGATCTTGATCCCTCCCATCGATCTTCATGGCCTCATGACAAAGGTAAGCTGCGCACTGCGCACCATGAGGTCACGTAAGTATTTATATATATATATAAACAGGGGACGAAAGCCAGCCTTCATAAGGAGATATTAAAGTTGTCAACGGGGGCGAACTGCACGCGAGAGTGCCGGGGAAGCGCTGGGAGGTACAAGGCGGGGCTGATATGACAGGCCTTCAATCAGAGGTGCCGGGGTGGGGTGCCCTTTTTCTGTTGGACGAAGGGGCGCTTGGAAGAGAGAAAAGGGCACCCCGAAGTCATTGCTTGTTTGTGGTTTGTATCTCGTGCTTTGTGGATGGACTCATAAACTTGGTGTGCGCTGTCAAGAGTGGATCGAAGTCGACACGGCGGTGATGCCTACTGTTGTGCAGAGTGACGTGCGAGGGGCAACTCACCCAGCACTTCTCGCCTCCGAGACGAGCTCCCCGCCTCTGCTCCTATCACATCCTCCCCCGCGACGCCCTCCTCCCCGTGAACTCTCACCGTATATGGGGTGCCCTCTGTTTCCTGTCCAATGCGTACGCTCCCACTCCTGCTACCGGGTCACTTAAATGGATCTCCTTTACCGCTGTTCCTATCACATCCACCTCGCTACGCCTATCCTCCAAATGAAGTCCCACCCCATACGGGGTGCCCTTTTGCGTATGGCTGACAGGAGTCTTCACCAGAAAAAAAGGGCACCCCCAACCAACTCCAAGATTTGTTGCAATCTCTCTGTTCCTACCACGTCCTCCTCCGCCATGCCTGTCTGCCACATGAACTCCCACTCCATATGGGGCGCCCTTTTGCGCCTGGCTACTATGTCGCTCAGAAAGCTACCCCACCGCATGCTGTCCACTCTCCTGCCCTCAACAGATCACATCAATGCTTGATGTGGTCAGAGGGCTGCGTGGGAAAGTCGTGAGAACATTACTCGCTTCGAAGGAGAAGGGAACGCATAGGCATAGAAGACTTGATTGGTCCAACTCCCGCCAACATCAGCATGTTCGACCAAAAAATATTACGAATCTAAGATTCTTGTCGCATGTTGATGCCTCGTTTGCATGGCCGCTCACCTCAAGATGAGGGCGGGAGGGTTGAGCAATGGACGTGAGCCAGGAACAGCTGAGGGCAGCGCTGGTGGAAGGGCTGCGGGCGTTGATTCGACAGGGAACAGGCCCGGCTGGAGTTGGGATGGGCGAGCGAAGTGAGTATCAGGGACGGACATTGCGATGCAATGCTTTCCCCAAGCAGGTCAAAAACAATGTTCAAGGTCCCTCTTCGGAGCGCCGAGGCTCCGCCACCACTTGCAACAGTAACTGGCAGCAGAAAACCTCCCAACCAGTGCCCAACCAGCTTGAAGAACGCCACGTTCTTTGTCAACCACAACGCAAAACCCTGTTGCAATGCTCAATGCAAACAGTGTATGGATCCCTGTCCAATCAAAGCCTCCATATACCAATATATAGATATACATTTTGTTTTTTGCGTCTTATATTATACTATATACATATAGTATATTATACTATATATATATTATACTATATATATGTATATATATGTATGTGTATCTATTTTGCCCGCGGGGGCAGGCCGCTAGAATAGAAGAGGTAAGCTATAGTAGCTGTAGAAGTAGCACGCACCTGGATAGCTCACACTATTCATTTAGTTCCTAGATTCTTCGGAAAAGGCAATTGAAATGGTTCAGCCTCGAAAGTCGGCCAAATCTCGGCTGGAAGTTGCTGCGTAACGCAGAGGTGAAGCATCCCCTTCAGGGCGGCCAACTGATACAAGGTCTATCTTATCTTCAACTTCAAAGGATGTCCAATCCAGCCTGCGTCGACGTAACTGCGGTATATCGGCTCCGGCTCCGGGACATGCTGTCTCCTGCTTGGCGATCTGTCTCCTGAGTGTCGCCCACGCGTTGCCTGCTGAGTGGTGGGACATGAGTCCCTGAGATGGAACGACCATGTTCAAACTAACGACAACTGACAAGGACGCAACTAAGGGCTCCTGGCCTCGCTACTAGGAGCAAGGACGATACTAGTAACTCTATTAGAGAACACGGCCACGCACTTTTCGTTCCAAGGAGCGTCCATTGAGTCGCTGACTCTGAGACGACTCGCCTCTTAGGCTGGGCGTCAGTTCACCTGAAGATGTCAAATCACGTGCTGACGCTGAGAGCTACCAAACAGGACTCTTGCAGCGATTACCAGTGTGATGACCATACTACAGGCATCTTCTATAGTAACAAGAAGCTATTAGAAACAAGTGCATCGCTTCTAGTAACAAGTGCCTTACTAGTAGTAACAAGAAGCTACTAGGCACAAGCGCCTTACTAGTAGTAACAAGAAGCTACTAGGAACAAGTGCC